CTTACTACACACGAGGAAGAGTTGTGCTCGCAAGCACACACATATAAGTTTGTACTTACCAATCACAATCACACAAGAAGGATTATACCAGGTAAAGCGCCACGGTAGGCGACAGTAGGTAAACTTGTCCGCTTGCCAGAAACAGCAGGTCAAAGTTTAAAGGTTGGGTCTATTAGGCCAAAATTACCCCCCCCCCCCTCCTCGGCCCTTAGCCTCTTCTCATCCATAGCTGGAGCATCCGGTATCGGAGGATCGTTTGCCCTATTTATTTCTGGACTGGTGTGGGGAAAAAAGACATGCCACGGAAACACAGTTTTTGATCAATAAAAAAACATTAAACGAGGAACCTTCTGAAATGATCCTGACTCTTTGACCTTCGAAGGAATGCCAGGGCCGTTGGGGAGAAAAGTATGGGAGAAATTCTGCTGCTGCTGCGGCTTGCCTTTCAAACGTCCAGACAAGTGGAGAAGGGAAGGAGAGTGGAGGGGGTTGCTCCTAATTACATCCGCAAAAGCGGATCATTCTCGTTAACAAAAGCGGAGCTGGGCTGGAGGATTAGCGGAATCAATCCCTGGGCGCGCTGGCCCCGCCGCGTGCGCTACGCGTGCGGGGACCGACAAGGACCGTGTGCGGGGAGGTTCATTTGTTCAGCAGTCCCACAGGAGGCACTTTGGGGCCGCGCACCAAATAGGGTCGGATTAAATTTGGAATTCAAGATCGACAATATTTATATTTTTTGCGCTTTGAAAAATAAGTTACTATACTATGGCCTCCAAAACGACTCTATTCAGGACCTTCAGTTCAGTTAAGGCACCGTACCCCCCTAAGAAGTAATTCAGCACGACCCCCAAGACCGGCATAGACAACTCTCGCCCTTCCGCCTGTCGGGGCGCAAAGTTAGAGCGGGACTCCTGTTTTCAAGTCAGGCAGACTCTGGACTCCTGGCGTGGGGAGAGGAGAACCCAAGTTTGCTGGAGGCCGGCGGAGTCCTCCGGAGCTGTTCGAGGCACTGCCCCGTCTGGTGCAGGCACGGATTCGACCGTCTGCTTGCATTCTGATTGTCGAAACGTACAGGCAAATGATTGGCTGCTGGCTGAGGTTCCGCGGCTTTGTCGTCTTTGACTTGAACGGTCTCTCAGCCGGGGGGCTTGGCCTTGGCCATGGCCATGGCATTGCTGGTCATCCCTGAACTAGCTCAGCTACGGCTTTTAGTACATGATGCCATATATTAAATACAATAAATGTA